TATATATATATATATTAGAAAATGTTTGGCTTCTATTCATTTTAAAAGTTCTCAGTTTCATCTTCAAAAATGTTAAATAATTTTAAAATGTTAATCAATATTTTCAATAATGGAAAATGTGTATTTTGCAACATATATAGTAATTCAGATAAAATGTAGGCCTTGAAAAATGCTACATTTTTTTAAACCAGTAATATATTGAAGATTTATGCTAATGAATTTTTGCAGGAAATAAAGTATTTCACAAAATAAAAAAAAATCATTACCATTATAAATAAGATATGGATGAAGAGTCTTATACTTGAAAGCCAGAAAATTATTTTTACTTTCATGATTATTGGTTTATATGTTATAATTTGTGAATATTCAAAGCTAAAATTCAAAATTTTCAATACTTTACTCATACCTAGTAAGTCCTATTTGTTGGTAATGAAGATAGTATTTAATTGAACCTGAAAGTGCATCAATATATAATACAAATTATATTTTTGTTGCAATTAAATTGGAATGTTTTAATGTATTTGATGAAATACGTTATTTAAATCCAAGCATACTGTATATCATAAACATTAATGAATTGTAGTCTGTGCAATATAAATAAATGGCATTTAAGTACGCATTAGTGTGAGCATCTACAAGCAAAAATAAGTTAATGCATTATACATAGAATCTAAGCTTTAAATATTTTAAGTGTTTTTTGATTGCAAATAAGTATATACGATCTTGTTTGAATAAATGAGTCTATTAGAATTAGCTCAGATGTATAATTTCTTTAAGAAGTATGCTATCTATAAAGTATAAAATGGCACCAATAAAGTGTTAGGAGAACACATGTAATATATACTTTGCAATTACCAAGTGAACTATGTTAACTTTATTTAAATCTGTAATGAAATTTAGAATTTGGCATAGCATACTTGTTAAAGATAGTATCACAAAGTGCAACTTGTTCAAAAATAATTACACGGTTCTAGCTCTTTGCAATTAATTACAAAAGCAATTATATGCAAGGACAGGGTAACATATGCTATCTAGAAGCAAAGCATTTGGTACTCACAGATACAGATGGGTATGTTTGCAGACCATTGGTTATTCTCTTGACAAACAATGGATTTCTCTCCAATTAATTCAAACCCAAACTGGCATTCAAATCTTAAAACATCACGATTAGAAAATCCATCTCCTTCTCTAATTCCGTATAAAGGTGTACCAGGATCACCACAACTTTCTTTTTCAATTTCTGTAAAAAGAGAAAAATAAAGTCACTTTCCAAGGGTTTTAGGCATATGATATCTACACATCTGTTTAGTAGATGTACACTCGCTATAGTTATTTCAGAGAAAAAGATGAAAATGTTCTCCAATCTTATTCTTTTTCTTCTGTTACTCTTGGACCTGATTTGATGAACTGCGCTGTAGAGAATAATTAGTGTATTTCTCTCATTTGGGGGAAACTGAGGTCACAGACTATTGTGATTATTCTTAACAAGACAATTATGATGAGATTCAGATTTTGTCTGTACTGTACACTTACACAGACATATACTTACATATGTGTTCTCCTCAAATCCTAAAGACTTTTCTAATTTTTCTATATGATACAGTAAGTCTTTAGACTGCAACCAAGATGTGAAGTAACAGCCTCTGCCTCTGAGCTCCTACAGCAATACGTAAATACCTTTCACACATGATCTGCCCCTCTTCCTGATATCAGCTGGCTGAATTACTTCCCCAGCTAGAACTCCCAAAAAACTCCTTAGGGCAGGAATCAATTTTGTATTTCAAATTACCCAGATGCATTCCTCAATAAATGTTCTTTGGATGAATTACGTTGAAAAGATTGAAAAAGAAATTCTCTTAAGAACACATTAAAATACTCTTTTACAGATATTCAAAAAAACTCAAAATATCTAGGATCTTCATTGTGAAGCTATGAATGTCAGTAGTAAATTATTGTGGTGATTTGGTTTTGAAGTCACATGAAATCACATTAATGCAGGTGTCTTCAAACAACAACAGCAAAAACATAAAAATTAAAATAAAAAAATAAAAGTGAGATAAAGTTATGGCCTCTTACAACACTCCAACAATCACACATTCCTGGTTCTTCTGTAATCTACCACAATTTGGTGTGTATCTTTCCAGTTCTTTTCCCATGCTTTTATAGTTACACACAGACATACACAATATATGATATTATAAACATCTGTGTTTATGTAAATATAAAAATCCTCCAGAGAAATTATGTAGCATTGTTTCATATATATTATACTTTATACTGTATTATATTGTCACTATTATTTTTCAAACAAAAATTTCAGAGCTATATTTCAATACCCTTGTATCCTTAGCAGAAACCATAGATGGTTGCCCCTTTAATTCACTGGGTTTGATTTGATATTGTGTTCTTATCTATGACATAGTGACACTGGTCTATATATATATATGTCACATATACATGTATACACACATATACAAATACACACACATACTGTCTGTGTGCTGTTCTTATTGAGGTTTAATATAAAGGGGAGAGGTTAGTAATTTTCCAACATTCACTAGACTTTAGGCAAGTTTTTAAAACAGGAAAAATTGGATTCTTAAGATTAGAACTTCTCAAAAACAGCTGGCTGAATCTCATAATTTCGAGGTAGATATCTTACTAACACTTCAATCTCCTCTAAAGTTATTTTCTTATTGAAGGTTTTTTGTTTTGATTTGTTTTGTTTTATTGTTGGGGGGGGCAACATTGGTAACTTATACACTTTAGCAAAGTGACATTGTCCAAGGCTTGCAAGGTTAGTAGAGGAGTAGTAATAGATTTGTGTGACAGGATTTTAAAATATCTCTTTATAAATATATCATAAATCTTTCTCACTCCTGTTTATTTGTAATTAGTCTTCCAGTTTTCTTTGCTCATACTTATTAGTCAAATTTATTGGTCTACTCAAAGAACCAACTTTGGTCAATCACTTCTATTGCTTTGATTTTATTTAAACTTTTTTTTTTTTTTAATCTTTTTGGAGACTATCTTCAACTTTCTTTTGCATTAATTAACTGTTCTTTTTCTCCCTTCTGGAGCTGATATCTTAGGGTTTGTTTATTTTTTTGTTGTTAGTTTATTTTCAGCCTTGTTTTCTTAAAAAAAAATTCGCATCTATAAATTTTCTTCAGAGTACTCTTTTCATACATAAAGCTTTTTTTTGTTCACTTCTAAATAGTCTGTAATTTCCACTTTGATTTCCTCTTTAACTCATAAATAATTTCAAAGTGTTTTTAAATTTATGGGTTGGGGCTATCATTTTATTGTTGATTTCTAATGTTATTGCTTTAGCATTCAGCATAAATATATCCAGGTCTCACAGTAGATAAATCAGCAAAATATATTCAATTCAATTTGTTATATTTGTCAAATAGAAATGATTTATGCCCTTAGTTCTTTTTTTGTCTACCCTAACAATTTCTAAAAGAACTGTGCTATAAGTTCCAAACAAAGTATGAATTTTACATTTCCTCATAGTTGAAGCAAGTTAACTTCACATAGTTTAAACCACCATTTTGTCTTCTCATTTTATTCAGAAAATATTTATTTGAGCACCTAAGATGTGCCAGATTATGCTCTAGGTATGTGGGATAGATCAGTGAATAAACAGATGATTCCTGCTCTCTGGTAGGGTGAATTCCATTGTAAGTTTACAAATAATCAATCGATCAATTAATCAATCAATCAGTATATTATAGAAGGTGATACATGCTATGGAGTGTTGAACAGGGAATAGTGGGGCTAATGTGGTAGGTGATGGTGGGATCACATTGTTGGTAGGCTAAAACATTTCATTACTCTTATATCTTTTTTGTAATTGTTTCTGTTATTGAAAGAATGAAAGCATAGGTTCTTCTTCACCTGAAAATGTCTTTATTTTGCCCTCACTATTGAATGATAGTAAGGTATGGAAATTTAACTCAAAATGATTTTCCCTCAGCATTTTTAAGATGTTTTCCCTGGTCTTTTATTCATCTATTATTCCTGTTGAGAAATATAATGTCAAACAGATTTTAATTTTCCTATAAGTAATCTGTTTCCTGCTTCCTCTCCTCTCTTTCCACAGGTGTTTGGATCCCTTTTTACACTTGCTGTTTTAAAATGTAACTATAATCTACTAAGTATTGGTTTTAAAAACTTTTTTTTAACTCAGTGCTTGGTGGATTTCTTCTGTCAAATAACTTGTAACTTTTTTTTCAGTTCTAGTAAATTGTTACCATTATTTCTTTTAAAATATTGTTTCTTACATGCGCTCATCTCTCTGAAACTCCTTTACATTGAATGTTGTAACTTTGATATTTAGTCTCCATGTGGTCAATCTTTTGAATTTTTACTTTTAAAATTATCTATTTGCATTCTAGAATTATATACATGTAAATATATATGTGGATGTTTATTATAAATTTTACTTTACTAATTTCCTGTGTACTTTCATCTAATCTCAATTCAGTCTATATACTGAAAAATTGTTGTCATTTCTTTAATATTTAGTAATTGTTATTAATTTTTGTTGTTTTATAACTTCCTATTATTTTTTCATAGATACAATCCCCCCCTTTATTTTTGTGAAGATATCTAGTAAAATTATTTTAAATTATTTTTTGATTGCTCTTTTAACTCTGCTTCCTTGAATAGAGGCAGAAGTGTACTTAAGAGAGTAGCAAAATAAAGTTTCTTCTAAAGCGCATATTTTAAAATATATTCAGTGAATCATGATGATGGTTAAACTTACGAAGAAAGGTACAGGAGGAAGCCGTTTAGGGGAGAACAAAAATCCTGATTTTAAACAAGCCGTCAAATTTGTTTACTTCTCTATAATAATGCAGGACCTAGACTTTCTGTTTCCACCTTCAATCTCTGCCTTCAGGCTTATTTCTTCTACTATCAGAATCACGTTGTAATTCTGCATGTAAACTCTTCCCTCCGTTGCTTTGTGTTGCAGTCCACTTTTATGGCATTCATCCTCAGTTGGGGAAGCCTCCTGCTTGATAACTGCATTGGAGTCTCATTCCATGTCTGGACAGTTGGCTCTGTAGCTGAAATATTTTCCTCCACAGCAGTTACTGCAGTTTCCCAAGACTGCCAGTGGCCTCCTCTCTGGAAACCTCTGGCTCCGATGTACAATGGCTTCCTATGCAAAAGCTGTAGCAACGGCTGCCTATGGAAGCATTGGTTTATAAAATTTTCAGCTGACCTCTATACCCCATATATATCTTCATATGTTTATTTACTGTATTTATCTTAGGGATTCCATAGTACCTCATAAAAACTGAGATTTTTCTCTTCCAATTCTTAAGGATTAGTATATCTATTTTAATAAGTTTTCTATCATCTTTGTGTTAGAATTGAGAGTGTTTACTATTTTGAAACCATATTTCTTTCTTTGTTCCTTTAATACAACAATTTTAAAAATCAAAGATATATTATTGAACAAAGGTATAACTTTGAAACTATAGTACTCTCTTAGACTGAAAAACAATAAGCAGGAAGTAAAATAAACATATATTTATTACATATTACTGCCTTTGATTTTTTTTTTTTTTTTACCTAGGAAGCAAGACTAATATCAGAACAATTAATATGCAACAGATGAGTGCTACATGAGAGATATGCACAAAGAACTATTAATAATATTGACTATCACTTATTCAGCACTGAAACTGTATTGGCACTGTGAAAACATTTAAAAACATTCATTATATAATTTAATCATCATAACAACCCTATGAGGAAACTATTGTCATCTACATTTACGGATAAGAAAATTTAAGACCAGAGAATTTAAGTAATGTTACAGACTGAATATTTGTGTCCTCTCCCCAAATTTATATGGTGAAACCTAATCCCCAATGTGATGGTATTTGGAGGTGGAATCTTTGGGAGGTGATAGGTCATGTGAGTGGAGCCCTCATGAATGGGATTAGTGCCCTTGTAAAAGAGGATTTAAAAAGTCCCCCTGTCTCTTCTGCCATGCGAGGACACAAAGAAAAGACAGCAATTTATGAACCAGAAAAGGGTTCTCACCAGACACTGAATCTGCTGGCTCCTTAATCTTGGACTTCCCAGTCTCCAGACTGTGATGGTTGTGGTTTATAAGCCATGTAGTCTATGGTATTTTTGTTATAATAGCCCAAACAGACTAAAATGCTACCTTGTCCAATTTCCTAAAACTTGCAAATAACAGAGTTTAGATCTGTA